CCCCCCGCCCCCTTGAGAGGAAGGGTGACCCCATCCAACCCCTTACTCTCAGGCTAGACTAGGAGGCACAGGCCCCTTCTTGGGGCCACAATCACCCTTTTTCTCTGTGTTGCACTATACATTGCACAAATACCCTTAATCTATGTGCACTGAGCCTTCCCAACAACCTTGTGAAATAGTTACTACTATCACCCCCTTTCTGGATAAGGCAGGCTCTGGTTTGCCCTAGATCACCCTGCTAATTAGTGACAGCCATGGCTTGAACTCAGGCAGGCCTGTCTCACCACCACGGCACAACACTGCCCTGTGTCCCAGTTTAGCAGCGTTGAGGAAATCCGAGGTGGGGGTGTCCCAAGGTCCTGCCTCATGGGCCTATTTCCCCTGGGATGGAAAAAGGGTAAGGGAAGAGAAAGCTGAAAGGGAGGTCACTGAATGGGTCAGGGGCACATAGGGGACCTGGGACCCTCACATTCTAGTCAGGGGAAGGAAAGGGAGGAGGAATGTGGGACAAGCTCAAACCAAGCTGTTATCCCCTCATCTCTTAAATACCCTGAGTCACTTGGATTAACACCCACAGCTTGGGTTCAGCCCTGGCTAGTAGCCAGTGCATGAGGTCTTGCTCAGTTCTGTATCTCATGGGGTCCAGATAAAAGCACAGCCCTTCCAGCCTACTTATTTACTTATTCTAAAGACATACTTATTTGTCCATACAAAAACTGGGGTACAGGCCAGAGGTGCAAGGAGGGGTGAGAAGATTCACCAGAGTCAGAGTGGGGAGCAGAACAGGAGGACTGACTGAAATGCACTGCTGAGGGGAGCAGCGGGCGGGTCAGGAGAGGGGACTGAGCTGCTAAACTGGGGCGCAGGGCAGCATGGTGGTGAGACAAGCCTGCCCGAGTTCAAGCCATGGCTGTCTAACTAGTGGGGTGATCTAGGGCAAACCAGAGCCTTCCTTATCCACACAGGGGGTGATAGTAGTATCTATTTCACAAGGTTGTTGGGAAGGCTCAGTGCACAGGCTGTGCCATGTGGGTCAGCTCCCTGGCTGGGAATTGAACTCATGTAGCACAGAGCTTGGTAGTGCTAAGACTTAACCCCTGTGCCACCAGGGAGCCCCCCTCCCAGCCTGTTTGGAGGGGAGTCATAGCAACCCAAGCCAGGGGCTGGGCAGAACTGGCGTGAAGGGGGAGAGCTGCGAAGGTGTCTTGTCCTCTGCCCTAGTGTGAGCCCTTGGGCACTGGAGCCACTTCATGCCTGCGGGGACAGCCACTGGTAGACTTGTGGCTCTAGCACGGCTAGTGGCAATGCAGTGGGGGTGGAAGCTGGGAGGTGTGTGTCTGGGCTTGCGTTTAGCTGAACAAGAGGTGGGAGCCTTTCCCCAGGGTTCTCCCCTAGTCCCCAAATTCTCACCCAGTACCTGCCCCTGGGAGAGGGGACATGGTCTCTGTTCTGCCTACAAGGGTAGAAGGCTTGGGGCAGATTGTTTAACTGTGACTCTAAGAACTTGATGAGAGAATCAAGAGTGAGGGAAGAGATGTAAGAAAGGTGTCAGGGGGAAGATAGAAGGGCTTGGAGAAGAGAGGAAGGGAAAACAGAAAGGCTTGAGCTGACACCCGCAGCAAGCCTTGGTGTTATATGGGCTTCGGCCTGTGTGGGGTCTGCTACAGGTCTGCCAGGCCCGTGCAGGCAGTCACTGGAGCCGAGGGTGCTGTGCCTGCTGGCTCTCATCACCGTGGACTGCAGTAGTGTACCCCAAGTAGCTCACAGAAGGGAGGGGAGAAAAAGCCTGGACAGCAAAGGGGATTCGCAGAGCTGAGGACCTGCACCTGACATTTTCCTGGGAGTCTGGGTGTGGGCAGGCAGGTTCATGCAGTGGATGGATGCTGGGTCTGGAGTTCCTTCTGGGCTGAGTTACTGCTGCCAACAGTGTGGGTGTGAGTGGAAGGCCGTTGAAGCCTTTATACTGAGACCAGAGGTCTGTGGCTGTGGCCAGCATGTGACCCAGATTCCGGCCTACCTCCTCAGGTGAACTCAAGGACACTGACAGATGCTGCTGGAAACATAAGCCATGCAGCGGGCACATCATCCACCCCTTCTCTTCTGACTTCGGCCACCACAACCTGCACGTGCACACCATCAGCTGCTGTGACTGCGACTGTAGGTAAGGGGTGTGGCTGCCCAAGGCCTGGGGGACTCCCAGGGCTAACCTAAGTCTATACTTCCACTGTGGCTCCCCCTTCAACCTTTGGCCTGGCACTGGCAGCCCTGCCCTGCTTTGTAAACCTGGCTGGGGTCCGAGAGCAATGGGGAGGTCCTTTGGAAGCCTCAGCTGAGCCCAGTGGAAGCCTGCCGTCCCCCAGTCTTCTTGCTGTGGGCCCCTGGGGAGTCATGGCTGAATCCCCTCTGTGGCAGGCTGAAGAACTGCTCAGAGAAGACAAATAGCAGCACCTCCCGAGAGAGTGGCCCAACCTGCTCCAGAGATGTGGGCTCCACCTGTTTCAACATCATCCAGACCCCGTGCTTTGAGTTCTTCCCAGAGGAAGAGTGTGTGGAGCGGTTCTGGTATGGCTGGTGAGTGCTGGCAGGCCGATGGGGTGACTGGGAGGGAATAGGGGGCTGCTGAGTCACTGGCCCCCATGCTCTGTCAACCTTCTCTTCCTGTTCCTCTCCCTCTGAGGTGCAAAAGCTACAGGCCTGTCTCTGTGGCAGTGATCCACCATCCCATCCACCATGAGTGTGGGGCAGATGACCTAAATGAAGAAGAGGAAGAGGAGGAGGAAGAGGAGGAAGAAGAGGAGGAGGAAGAAGAGAAGGCAAGCAAGCCTCTTGGGTCAGCCCAGATGGGTCCAACCACCACACCCACTGACACAAGCACAGGGGTGGCCCCTGCCACAGGCACCCCTGATTCGGCAGCTCCCATCACCATCTGGCGCTCTGAGAGTCCCACTGGGAAGTCCCAGGGCAGCAAGGTGATTAAGAAGGTCAAGAAGAAAAAGGAGAAAGAAAAAGAGAAAGAAAAAGAAAAGGAGGAGGAATCAGACGAGAAGACAAAACTGAAGAAAAAATTCAAGAAGACCAAGTTGGCTAAAAAGAAAAGCCCGGTCAAATCGGAATCGTCACCTCCAGACTTGATTCGAACACTAAGCCCAAGAGAGCTGACTAGGATGTCAGAGTCCAGCCCAGAGAGCCGGGAGGAACTGGAGAGTGAGGACAGTTACAGTGACCCCAAGCGTGAGGAGCCACCCTCCAGTGAGGAAATTGTGGATTCGTCATCACCTAGGAAGAGAGAGAAGAACTTGATCCAGGCCAAGAAGCCCGGGGCAAAGCCCTCACCGATCAAGAAGGTCAACAAGAGGAAATCTCCCCCAGGATCAAACCCCAATCTCAGTTGAGGCCGGGGGACCAGGTGAAGAATAAATTCGATCAAGTCTGTAGCTGAACCCCTGCTGCTGTGTGCTTGCTCTGGGGTCAGCTGGAGCCAGGGGCTGGGGCTGCAGGGGTTCCTGGAGGGCAGTCCCCCTGCCACGAGAAGTGCATGGGAAGGTAGGTGGGATGGCAGGGGAGAGGCATGGCCCATTTCTCTGTACCATCCTAGGCCTGGGGCAGAAGAGGGATGGGTAGGGAGGAGCTTCCCATCTATTGGGAGACTGGTCTGTGTGAAGTCCACCCCAAGACAGGGTACCAGTACTGTGTGCAGTGTACCCCTAATAAACTGAACCTTTTAACCCACTTTGTGCCACTGTGCCTGGCCTTTCCTCTTCTGGTGGCCGGCCCTGAGGGAGGTGCTGGCGGCACCACAGGGAGTATGATTGGTCAGCTGTGGGGCCTTCTAGACTCCAAGTGCTGAAGGGAATGGACTGAATTCCTGGCATGAGGCCAACTCCTGTCCCTTAACTCTGGCCAACAAATAGCCAGAGATCTTGAATGAAGAAAAGGGGGATAGGCTCACTTTCCTGACACAAATTTGCAAAGCTCAGATGAGACACTTGGGAGAGCAGGAGTCAAGAATAAAAGATGCCAATGGGCTGGGGGGAGGGAGCAGGGCCAGGGGACTCCCCTGCATACCTCAGCTTTCCTGTCTGAGGCCAGCGCCTGTGTGGAAGCAGGCAAGCAAGGGGTCCCTCCTGAGCCAGGTGCACTAGACAAGCTTAGAAGTACCGTCAGAGACCAAGGCCCAGGAAGCAAAAGTGGAGAGCAAGTCATTGGGGCTAAAGCTGAGCAACCTTGGTTTACCTGTGGCCTTTCTCCAACACGTTAGAGATGACTAGCAGGCACAGGGGGTGGGGTGCTGTGTGACAGAACTAAGCACTTGACACACTCAGGCTCTGTCCTCACACAGCCTGCCGGGGTAGGTTTCACATCTCCTGTTGACAGGTAAAGCTGGCTCAGAGAGCAGAGGGCCTTGCTCAGGGTCACAGGGCTGGGAAATGAATGGAGCAGGGATGCAACCCGGGCAGCTGATGCAGAAACAACCATTTCTTCTGAGTCACTGCCTCACAACACTCTGGAAAGGAAACCAGGGGAGCCCTCGATTCAAATTCTACTTTGAAAGTCACCCCTCAAGAGCTGAAGAGTTGAAGAGAGAAGCTGTGCCAAGTGCTCTGTAGAAACACTGTTTATTCAAATGACAGGCAGGAAGCGGTGGCTGCAGGTGGGTGAGGGTGGTCGTGTGGGGGCTGGGCAGGTTAGCACTGCTCCCCTTTGTCCCCTTTGTCCTGCTTTGACAGCCACCCAAGCTGTTGGCATCAGGATCAGAAATACTTTCCCTCCTCTCCCTCCTGCCCCTAACTGAATAAATAGCATCCCTCTCCCCACAGGATTTGGGGGGAGACTCAATGTGCTGAGCTTGGTGCCCCTGTCACAGCCCAAAGTCAGGTGAGGGCAGAAGCTCAAAATGGCTTGTAGGGAGTAGAATACAAAACAGTTCCACTCTCATTCTCATCTTTTCTCTTCTTCCTCCCCGTCACACTCCCCTCTCAGCCTGGTCCCAGAACAGGCAGTTGCCAAGGACCCAGAGCGGGAGAATTGTCGTCTAGTGTAACTGAACTTGAGTTCGCAAGGCCATCCAGCCTGTCACTCATCCAGGCTGACCACCAACGACAACGTCAATTCACTCCACTTTATGGACAGAAAGGGAGGGGCAGGGAGTGAGGCAGTGGGCGGCAGCCGGGCCTCTCCCAGCCAGAGGTCACATGACCAGAGTCCTAGGAGCAGGCCCCCTACCGATCCATCTCATCCAGGAGTGGGGTGGCATCGCCAGCAATGGACATGGGGGTGCTCTCGATCATGGGGCTGGGGGAGGGCCGAGGTGTCAGCCGCTGCTTCTGTTTCCGCCGTTCTGCCTCCTTCTCCTGTAGCCACTGTTCTGCCATTTTCCCCCAGTCGATGGCTGCGTGGCTGTTGGACCTGGAAGGGAGGCCTTTGAGATGGGGGCTCCACAGGGGTTTACTAACTTTCCCACCAATAACTGGCGGCACCCACCCCTGCAGAAGTGGATCTCACACCTATGGCCAGCCCCCCACACTGCCGCCTCTCCCAGGAAAGAAAGTCTCTGTCTCGGCCATCCCTTGGATCGTGACTCTGACAATATCCAGAGTCCCCACCTATGCTAAACGCCGTGGCCCTCTCACAAGCTGCCCTACTGAGACCACTCTGAGCCCCATCCATATACTTACTTTGGCTGCTGCTGCCGTTGCCGAGAGCTGGAGGAGGGCTGAGGCTGGGCTTGGGCTGACTGCGGGGTGGTGCTGGCCTGGAGCTGGTGGTACTGGGGTGTGGTGATGGGTTGGCTTGGGGTGGTGTAGGAGTAGCTGGGAGTCATTAGCGGGGTAGCCACCGGCTGCTGGGCTGGTGTTGGGAACACCTGGAGATGGGTGAACAGTTAAATGGTGATGGCTTTTGGGCTTATCTGCTATGAATTTCTGGCAAATTCAAAATTTGGGTCCAGCAGTTTTCTGGCTGAACTCTGAACAGTGTGTGGTTCTGAGTGGTAAAGGGAGGCCAGTGGGATGGGACCTGGCACAAACAGAGCCTACTAGCCCTGACCACTTGAGGATTTTAGTGGGTTAGGGCTCCAAAGACCCCAAAGGACTCTGGGGAAGGGCTAGGCCTTCTCCTATTCCCTACCCACTCAGACAGGTCTAAGGTAAAGGAACATCTGTTGGAAACAGTTGCTAAGGCCTTGGCAGCCCCACTTGTGTATGTGACATCCTCTGTGGTAGGCACTGCCAGACCAGAATGTGTGGGCATGGGTTGGCAAAAGAGGCCTGCTCCCTTTTCACAACCCCTCCCCTCCAGCAGGCACCTCCCTCCAAGCAACCTACGTGGTAAGCACTGCTACCCCCTCCACTGCCGCCATAGCCATACTGGCTGGAGGCCCACTGGGCTGGGGTGGTGTTAGGGTTCTGTCCTTGGCCTGTCACGGCAGCAATGGCACTGAACATCTGCGAGGTCATGTTCTGGGGCAGCGCATTCACAGCCCGTGTCAGGTCTGCAAGCACAGGGGAGGGCGGGCACATTAGAGGAGACAAGACTTTTCAGCCCCACCCTCTGGACAACAGCCCAGGTATGAGCTCCTCACCAGCAAGGTTGATGTTGGCCGGAGTAGCATTGATAGAAGCAGGTGTCCTGGTCCTGCTGCTGCTACTGGGGGTGATGCCTGGAGGAAATGGCCAGAGTTGGTTATGTCCCCCCAGAAGGCTACTTCAGGTTTCAACTGAGGGGGCTAAAGAAGGCAATGAGGTGGATACTGAAGAAAGGCAGCTGCACGAGCTCCCCAATGCTGGGAGTTTAGGGAAGGAGGGTGGTTTACTTGCGTCAGGCCTTCAGGTGTCTTCCCAGCTATACCCCTAAAGGGAGAGGAGCACTCACCAGGTACAGGATCCTGGTAATGATCCTTAAACCATCTGAAAAGTCCATTTACAGTTGGGAAGATCTGGCCCCGGTACCGGAATCCTTCAGGAGTCACCGTTACATATTCTATCCTGGGATTTTGGAAGAAAACGGGCATCAGATACCACTGGTTCTAGCCGTGAGAGGCTACAACAGAACTTCACTGTATGAAGTAGCCCTGTAGGGTGCCTGGGAAAGGCGATGAGCCAGCCAATCCCTGGCTCAGAGAAGGAAGATGCTCTCTGATTGGGTCTCCCAGCCAGGGCCAGGAGTCAGCAGCTGTTGTGCCACGTACAGGCTGTGGGAGGAAGGCTCGCTGGTGCTGGGCCGCCATCCTGGGCTCTACATGACAGCAGCAACTGCAGTCCCAGACTGTCAGGGATAAAGGGTCCTCCAGGGTAGCATAAAGCCCCTCAAGCTGGAGTTGGGAAGTGCCCCTGGAAGGTGGCTAATCTACCATGTTCCATACCAGAGCAGAGAGTGGCTAAGTGGATGGGCTGAATTCACACCCAGTTCTAGTTCCACTTTGGGCTTTATCACTCACCACCTATTTGACACGGTGTTAGATCACTAAATCTGACTACCTACTTCACAGGTAAAATGAGGCTAACAGAACTTCAGTCTATAGATGGATGTGAGAGATTAAGTACACAGAGAACACAGCAACTCCTAAGACAGGACTGTGCTCAGTAGAGGACAGCTACCAGCAGCCTATACACCAAAGTAGGGCTAAATTCTCAACTTAGATTAAACCTGCTTCCTAAATCTCCTTCAATGTTCTACATTCTGCAACATGAGGAGCCTGTACCCCCTTTCCAAAGGCAAGCTGTATTGTGTTGCTCAGTTCCCGGTTAAAGGTCTTCCCGTTTGCTCAATTGTTCCTCAGGGGACAATTCCTCCCCTCCCCCCAGCCCTGACTGCTGTCTTCTGGTTACATACTGGTGAGTCAGAAAAGGCTTCTCAGAAATGAATATTCTAGATCTGCCCAAAATGGTGTGGGGTACAGAGTCTAGCATCGCTTGTCATCTGGCTAATGAATCCTACTAGTAAATGGAAGATTGCCATGATGCACAGGTAGCTCAGGGATAAGAGAGAGAAGTACACAGGCCTTTGCAAGAGTCAGTGAGATGATGGGGCAGAGAGAGAGGTGGCTCTCAGCCTGGGAAAAAGGGACAAAGGAGCAGATCTAAGGAAACTGGAGTTTGTGAGCATGAGAGACCCCCAGATAAAGGAGGGCAGAGGAAGGCTAGTTTGTCAGTCATGCACAGAAAACAGCAGAGCAGGATGATGGGAGGAGGGAGAGAGGCTCTCCTGGCCTAACCCTCACGCGCAGGCAGAAGCCAGCCTGTCACACATGTGCTCCCTGTGCTGAAAGCCCCTGTGAGGGTGCACAGTGGGGAGGGGAGACATCACAGTGCTGGCCTGTGTCCGCAAAAGTGATGAGCGTGTCTGGCAATTTCCACTACTCCCTGGAAGGGAGAAGAGGTGCAGGGAACTACTTTTCACAGGACTGGTGAGAGTGCTTTTCTCAGCGAATCTTTACCTTTGCCTCTAAATCATCACTCTCTTTTCCCCACCTCTAATCTCCACTTCTGTTCTGAACAGACAGGAGTGGTCGGGCAGAACCAGAGAGAGTATTGTTCTGGGGACCTCCAAGTCCCCTGCCAGCACCTCTGCGGACTCCAGCGGCGCCACCTCCTCAGCACTAGTGCTCACCTGGGCTTACCCCGGGGCTGGTATCCCAGTAGGAACTTGCCGGGCAGGTCCTTGCAGGCACAGATGAAATAAGGGATGAAGGTGGGCTTCTCCTTCTTAGTTTTGATGAGGAG